ACCCTGCTTTTATTTTTCGAATGTTACACCGCTAAAAATCTTACTTTTGACAAAGTTTTATCTTGGGCTATACAGGTGAGCGAACTGAGTAGGAGGGTTTTAGCATCGGTCAAATTTTTTATACAATTTCCTACCCATAATAACCAAAATTGCGCTTGCACAATCAATCCTTTTACCGATTCTCGATTACGCTGTCACGTGTTATCTCAATTTAAATGAAGAGTTACTTAATAAACTTGAGTGCATTCAGAAACTTTGTATACGGTTCATATTTAGACTTCGAAAATACGACTATGTTTCCGAATCCCTTGAAAAACTCAAGTGGCTTCAGATCTGTCTCCGCAGGAATACTCACATTCTTTCTCTTTTATATAGTGTTCTAATTAATCCCACTTACTGCTTACCATAAAGAGCGAATTGAGTTTCTTAATGACACTCACTGTCGCTCTCTTTGCTCTGATAAACACCTTACCTTAAAAATTCAGTCCCATAATAGTTCCTTGTATTCTAAATCCTTTTTTATTACTCTACACTCAAGACTCTGGAACTCCTTACCGCTGGACATTAGAAGTGCGCAATATATTGAAAAGTTTAAAAAAACTTGTGAAATCTCACTTTTTACCTACTTAAATAGTCATTCCTCTTTATATTCTTGACATCATTCATTTCAAAATTACTACTTATTTTTCCTTACGTCAAGACTTTTTATTACATTTACCTGTACAAAATATAGCAGACACAAGACCAGAAAGGAGTAACCTTTCTATTATCGAGTGTATACCTTTTTCAAAGGTCCCATGAGAGGTCTCATGAGATACTGAGATCATTTCTATGTGACAAGGCTGCCAAATGTATCTTTACATAATTTATTGTCTTGGAATCTGGATATTTTGGTGTACATTAAAGTATATTTCAATTAGGTATTATATTCATTGTTGAATGCCAAGATTCATTACAATATTGTTTCCCTTATATATAAAGTTTTAGTGTAAATATTGTCAATCCATTAAATTAAATCGTGAAAATTTCACTCAAAAGTTTTTAAAGTCTACTTTGTTTGCACTAACTTAAAAGTAATTGATGTAGTTAGTCACGTTTTTACGAGAATAATGAAACAATACGTGACAGAGAAAATGTAGTGTGTACTTGTCGATGTTATGTGTGTAGTTTTTCTATGTATACGTTAGTAAAACTTCCATATTATGTAATAAATATATAATAAATTTACCGTCCCGTTTGTACCGCTGGTCTAGTGCTTCGCTTATTTATTACGTTTTAACTCTTTAATCTCGTGGTAGTATGCGTAACTGCTGATTCAAGTGGTCTCAGGTTTGCATCTCAGGTAGTTGTTTTTCTGTCAAGAAATTTTCATTAGCAGCACGGAGTCAGGAAGTTGGCAGTGTTTCATTTCTGCGACTCGGAAAGTACGTAAATTCGTTGGTCCAGCGCCTGAACTCTCTTCGGTCGTATCGGTTTACCTTTCCATCGGCTTATGAGAGTGAGAGAATAGAGAGTGCACTTGTTCTTGCGTATACACTTAGGTACTATAATACTGGCTTTCGGGGATGGCTAGTCTCCGTTGAGGCTTGCCGCCTTGACCGAAATTCGGTTTGGAGGACTTAATTACCTATACATATAATAAATCTGAAGATAAAACGTGTCTGTAATTCTAGTATTTTCTGGAAAAAACAAGTCTAGGGGACTAAATAAAGGGCATTGAAGCCAAGTTAGTGGTGTGGTTGTTTGAATTTTTGTCTGTCTATCTGTCTGTCTGTGTACTCAAGATTCAAGCAAACACTACGGATCAGATTTTCATGAAATTTTCTTGCAGTTTTTAGTAGTTAGTATTGTCGTTAGGTAGATAAGGATCCGAATCTATTTATAGGCTACTTTTTATCCGATTACGGAACTTCAAAAAGGAGGATTAAGTATTATCCTTCATTAATTTCTATATTATACGATTAAAACTAATTTTGGGCTTTATTTATAAATATTTATTGTATTAAAATAAAATAAATATTTATAAATAAAGCACAAAATTAGTTTTAACCGTAGCGTAATAAATTGAGTTACGCCGTCAATCTACGATATTATTGTTGTATTCACTTTTTCATGACAGTGCCATATAACGTAAAATACGAAAACTAGTGACATTTTTTCTCCAGTTACTAATAAATTAAATAATATAAATAACTAACATTTTTATAGTTATATAATTAAATTTTGTTTTTTTCATTTTAGTAGATATGAATAAATTTTATAGTAACTAAGTAATTACTACATAAATAGATAATAGTGACATCTATCGAAAATCATAAAATTAAGGAGGTTTCTAAGCTTAATTTCTAATTTATTAAAAGTTTTAGTTAGGTATTAGTTTCTTTATCTATAAATAAACTGATAAAATTTGCAATTAGTACAAAACTCTTATTCTACTTTTAGTAGATTTTTATGTGTGTATTGGTCAGTTCTTAGAATTTATAATAATATAAATTAGTCCATAATTGAAACCGAAATGGCGGTATTTCATAAAATTTAACAGTGTTTGTAGACTAGTTCATAATATAGCTTGACCAAATTAATGAATAGAGATTGTTTGGCTATATTAACAACTTAACACAACATTTCTATTTATAGATGTTATTACACTGCTGGTAGCGCTGATTGTGTATATATGATAAAAGTAGATTTGTTAATAGATTCCACATCACTTTATGCAAAATTTATGTATTAATGTTGCAGCTTTGTTACACGATAGAGCCGCTCCAGTTGCACTTCAAATTATTGTGTCTGAGTACTAGAGGATAAAGTTTTGGTTGTCATAATTTTAATATAATAATAGCGCTATATACTTACTGCTAAATACACTGATAATAAGTAGATAACTGGTCAAATTAAACACAATTCTATTAAATATGTACCTATAGTTGCAGCATCAATAACTGTCATACCAATATAGACCGGTGGACACTGTCTGCATGATTTATCATAATTGTCAATTTTATAATAATTAATAACAAAACTGTGTACACAAAACTTCGATTAAGAGAGAAGGTCTTTACTTGAATATGTTGTGAATCGGCATAGAAATATTTCACCAATTTCTTTTTGTATCAAGTCCGGTATAAGTAATTGAAAATTAAATGCATTGTGAGCTTTTTATACATAATTGATGGAATAGTTCGTAATAAAGATTACACTGTTGACGCAGTCTTTTGTACTTTTGATGAGATTTTTAAAACAGTTTGTCATATATTAAGATAGCTTTCATATTTTTAGACATAACTATTAAACATTTTGTGGTAATCCCGGTGTCATAGCTCACATGAGTAAATGAACAGGCTTTTGTGAATAATTACTATGAAAATCAAAGAAAGCAAATTTTAAACACGGGCTTATTTTCATTTTAACTATGAGTAGAACTGCATTGATAGAGTCTTGAAGAAGATACTGCTGCCTATTTCAGGTAGATTTCTACTCCTGATCATGAATTTAGTTCTTCTTACATGTTCACCGTGAATAGAACTACATTACGAACTTTTGAAATCTATTCGAACGTAAAAAAATACTGGCATGTGGTGCTCAAATCAGTATTAAATGGGACTAATATTAATAAATAAAAAAACCAATAAGTATCAAAACCGTATCAACTCTAATAATGCATATTATATTTCCCGATTCCAGGACAATTTTGCCTTCATAAAGACACATCGGTAGATGTGTCCGATATAAAAACGTTGTTGCTTGACGTATGGTATTTATGCGATTCTGATGAACTAATCTAAGCGTTTCTGTAGCCCATAATATTGCCAATAATTGACACAGATACCGACGTGTCTTTACAAGTAAGCCAGTTTTGGTAATTATAGTACGAAATAGTACTATCGATGTTTCCAAATTCAAGCCCACGTGGGCGAAGCTGCGGGTAAAATGTTAGTTATTAATATAACTTCTATAAACTGCACTAATAACAATAGCCTACCAAACCACCAATAGCTTCTTTTAGCTATTCTTTCGTTTTGGGCACTGTTAGGCTTGTGCACCTGGATTTAAACACTGTGATTAATGTTTGTGATTATCGTATAAGACACAAATTCTCATTGGAGGTTACAATTTGACTCAAAATTCCCTGGTAGAATGTAATAAATAATTAAGCATTTAAAATTGCGAGTTGGTGAGATTCGAACTTGGATTGTTTCCATTCTACATAAAACAAGCACTGGAATGCGTAGCAGACTACTAGAAATGAGAGGTCTCCAGAAGCTATTTCTCAAGATTTTTTGACGTACGTACGTAAGTTATCAGCATTAATATTTTTGGCACACCTGTTAGTTACTTTCATAAATTATCAATTGCCAGTTTGTAAATAGTCCACTATGTATATAATCTGTTTGTAAATATTTGATGTAATGACCACATTAGTCAGTAGATTGTCTTCGCATCGCAATACCAAACACTTATGCTGAAGATTGACCACCAATAATAGTGATAAAAATCTTAGGTCCGGCTTTCTAAAAATTAACTTTTAATAAAAGTTAAGAGCTGGTTTCAAAGAACAAAAAAGAATAAAATAATTTTGCATATTCTGAAGTCGTTGCTAAATTATAGTGTAGTGTATTACAAGTTAGTCTTTTTAAACTCTATGGGTGGACTTAGCAATATCACAATGTCACCTAAATACTTACACTAAACACTTCATACCCTAATTAGCCTGATTGACCCGATTATACTAAGATGGTGTACAAACAAATAAGCTATGTATAAACCAGTTTTGCAAAAACACTGAAGAATTTAACAGAACGGTTTAACCGTTCTGTTAAATTCTTCATTCAGCATCATCACAATAGTCATCATCATCGTCATCAACACATTTCGAAATATTGTTTAAAATAGGTTAAATAATCCTGTAGAATAACATCAGAGAGTCAGTTTATTAAATAAAAATCTTCTATTAAGAGACTTCCCTCGTTTCGTAAATATATTTTTATCTATTGTTTCAGGAATTGGCTACAAGAAGAGGCGGCAGCTAAGTCTACCGGTAGGAAACCATCCTTTAAAAAATGTCTTGCGAAGACATTCTTTTGGTCTTTCGTACCTGGGGGCATTTTACAATTAGCGTGTGTTAGTATTCGGTAAGTAATTTATTATAGGAATTATTAAAAATATTTAAATAATACTAGTTTCTACTGATTATATCGCGTCTATTAACTTATTTTATATTTCCGACGTTTCGAGCACTTTACAGCACCCATGGTCTCGCTGTGTGTCTCAACGAGCTAGCTAACTGAGGACCGTGGGAAAGACAACTGGAGCTCGGAATGTAAAAACCTATCGAAAAATTAAATCATTACATTAACAAAATAAGAACGATGTCTGTATGTTTTATTTTAATTATTTTATGTTTCTTTCATTTAGTTTCTAGCGGCGTCTTAACTGTGTAATTTTAAAATTTTATAGGGTTCTTTATAAAATAGGTAATTTAATAAAAATTATAAAAAGATGAAAGTCTTAGATATAGATTATATTGTAAACTATTTGCTCTAACGTTATTCTACAGGTAGAAAACAAAGGATTATGTTTGTATGGACTAAACGCTGCCTGAATTTTAAAATACATACCTACGAGCACAAATAATTTTAATTATGTATATTTATTTTATATTTCTGTTTTGCACTTTAAGCATAATCCCATTTATATAACGACATTGGGTCTTTGAGTCCGATTATATACTAAAAATATTATATGATTGAGTGGGGGTAGACAGGATTTCACCGAATACCTGCTGAAATAAGCAAGTGTACGTGTATGTACGACGAAAATATATCATCATCATTATTAAAATGTTGTTTATTGTTCTTTGATTATTCCAAATAGGACAGCCACTCCGCTGCTCTTCGCGGAGTTGCTCTCTTACTGGTCTGCAAATTCTACAATAAGTAGAGAAACTGCTGCATATTACGCCGGTGGTATGATTTTGAGCAATTGGATAGCTGCCTTTTGCGGACACCATGGAAATTTTCTATGTCAGCAATTTGGAATGAAGTTAAGGGTGGCCATCAGTTCTCTAATGTTTAGAAAGGTGAGAGTTTTAAATTTGTATTTTAAATTGGAGTGTGGCCGTGGAAGGAAAAGGGGAGATCTCCCCGCCGGGCAAGGTGTTCTGCCCGGGGAGCGGCCAACACTCCAAGTGATATTTCGGAGAAGTTCTATATATACTGTCTATGATTCAGAATGTTAATAGCGCGATTTAGGCTTCGGTGTGTTTTTCGCTTGTGGCGGCGACGGCAGCGCCGCTACATCACCCCCTGCTCAGACCGGAGGTCGTTAGTGCAGCCTTGTTGCCGACGAATGTGCAAGTGCCAGTGGATTGCCTTGTAGTCTGCGGTGAGTCGAGAAGAAGGCAAGTAATCTGCGAGAGTGCCGTGAAGCAGAGGCGAGCAGTAAGGCTCAGAGCCGTGCCGAACACTGTATAGCGCAGAGAGTAGCTTGAAGGAACAGGAAGCATTATTATTCCAATGCTGCGATGAACCTTGTGAAGCTAGATGGCTTGCAGGATATGAAGACTGCAGACGATATCTGCTCGGGAGCGATACGGTGGGGTATTCAATGACGATGATGAAGCTTGAAGTTTCCGAAAGTTGTTGGTTGCGTGTTCAGATCACGTCGGGGTCACCACTGTGGCCGTGGAAGGAAAAAGGGAGATCTCCCGCCGGGCAAGGTGTTCTGCCCGGGGGAGCGGCTCACACTCCATGTGATAGTTCGGAGATGTTCTATATATACTGTCTATGATTCAGAATGTTAATAGCGCGATTTAGGCTTCGGTGTGTTTTTCGCTTGTGGCGGCGACGGCAGCGCCGCTACAGGAGTATGATTCAATGTTCTATTGCTTAATAAAATTTTATAGATAATTGAAAATATATAATTTTATTTAAATATCAAACATTCTGTGAAATAAAATTTGTAATCAATGATAAGTCTTAAATAATAAAAACAAAGTAGTACCAAAAGGAACATATTCGGTACCTCTTGGTACATAAGATACGTTAGAAAAAATAATTAAATATACGAGACGAAATATGTGACATACAAAATAAAACCATCTATAACCTTGTGCATTTACGACTGGTTTGATTCACTTATTTATAAATATGGATAGGTAAATCAAACGAGTTTCATATAAAGTAGTATGTCCTGAGTGACCAACTCGTCGAAATTTGGACAGTAGTTGTCTTTTATAACGTAGACATCCACTACGATTTAAAAAAATTTATACCAAGTTCAAGAGTTAAGTTTTCGAAAATCCTTTCTTAAGTTAACAGCCTGTGTGTGTGGTGCGTGTGCGTGTGCGTGTGTGCGTGTGTGTGTGAGTGCGTGCGTGCGTGCGTGCGTGCGTGCGTGCGCGAGTGCGTGCGTGCGTGCATGAGTGGGTGCGTGCGTGCGTGTGTGCGTGCGTGCGTGCGTGCGTGTGTGTGAGTGTGTGTGTTTGTTAGTTTGTTACCGTGTAGTAGTGGGGTAATAATATTCACTACCCCATATCATCCCGTGGGTGGCGTAAGAGGCGACAGAGGGAAGCAAATCAGGAAATGGGCAGCAGTGTCTTAATGACTAAAATTGAAAAAAAAAAAAACTGCGATTGCTAACCCGCTTGCCAAGCGTGGCAACCATCCCCTCTATGAGGCAATTTATGAGGGAGGCCTGTGTTCAGCGATGGACTTTAACAAGCTGTAATTGTAACGATAAACTAGGGGCCTATCTGGTTTATATTTGTTTTTGACCCATTATTCTCGACCCAAAATAGTTGACATTTATGCTAACAAAAAAAGTTAAAAACCTCGTTTTGAAATATATAATATGAATGTATGTTAAACCTAACGTAGATTAGCGCTACATAATACGAGAGCAACGGTTGGAATGATAATTCACCATTAGTGTATTATTACGAAATGAATCATTAGTGTGGTAAAATCTTGCTGCAGCTATATTATGACTTTAGCACGAATGGATCGGTTCGAGCGGGGAAGGACCAAGCTCTCACAGAATACCAACGTAAAATAGCACTTCAATGCTGCTGTGTTTATTATGATGTGCGTAGACAACCGGAGACCTTTTTTTCTGGAAACGAGGCATTTCAACTTACTCCTCAGGGATGGCAACGCGTTTGCATTTTGTTTCTTAATCGATGATAGATGTAGATGTCTATGGGCCACAGCATTCACTTACCATCAGATGGACTGTGTGCTCGTTTGTTACCCATATTCTATAAAAAATAGCGCTAAAGAATACATTATTTTAAACATTTGGCATAAAAGAGCTTTGTGCATAATTAATGGTCTATAACCAAATCGTATATTGGTGTATAATCAAATATAAACAAATCAAACACAATTGAAATATTGAATGAATTGAACGAACTGTAAAAATTATTTTGAATTTGATATTTTGGAACTACGACTTCTGGAACTACCACTAACTAAAAAACTGTGCTGCTTGACCCATTAGTTAAAAATACCAGGGCAACCATTGATATGAACAATGGGCGACCGAGCTTTGCTCCGCGTTTGAAGAATGACACCTATCTTGATAAACTCGGAAAGTGAAACATTATGTACCTAAATACAAAATTTTATTCAAATTGTTAAAGCATTTAATTTTCGTTACCGAAGTTTTGTGCAACATACAATTCATTGCTATGTCATCATCATCATCAGCATTTAAGAGTCCGCTGTTGGACATAGGTCTCTCCCAAGGCGCGCCACTTAGCCCGATCTTCGGCTTCACGCATCCAGTTGCTGCCAGCCGTCTTGCGCAGATCGTTGCTCCATCTAACCAGGAGGCGTCCCACACTGTGTTTACCTTAACGCGGTCTCCACTCTATGATACGCCTACTCCAACGGTTATTGCTTTTGCGACAAATGTAACCAGCCCACTGCCACTTCAGCTGGCAAATACGGAAGTCTATGTCGGTGACTGGTTCTCCGGCGGATTGCTTCGTTACGAATCTTACCCACCAGAGAAGCTCCGAGCATAGCTTTTTCCATCGCCCGCTGGGTGACTGAGTTTGTGGAGTAATCGTACCGTTAGTGTCCACGTTTCGGCACCATATGTGAGTACTAGCAGTCACTAGTCGAAGACTTTCATCTTCAAGGTTTGCGGTATGGGCAACGGGAAGACCTGACGAAGTTTTCCGAACGCTGCCCAGCCCAACTGAATCCGCCTATCGGCTTCTTTCTCGAAGTTATTTTCATCTATCTGCATTATCTGGACGAGGTAGATATACTCTTGAACAACTTCAAAAATTTCATCATCAACAGTTTCGTTAACTATTGATGATGAAATTAAACGTTATTCTACAGGTAAAAAACAAAGGACTACGTTCGTATGAACTAAACGCTGCCCAAATTCTAATATAAATACCTACGAGCACAAATAATTTTAATTATGTATATTTATTTTTTATTTCTTTTTTGCCCTTTAAGCGTAATCCAAAATTTATATAACGACATTGGGTCTTTGAGTCCGATTATAGTTTAAAAATATCATTTTAAATATATTATTCATAATCAACAATAGTCGGATCTGGTATGACATGACTGTTAAACATGATTTTCGTCTTATTTATATTCGTATGCAGACCGAAACGTTGAAAAGATTCATTTAGGCTGCTCAGTATGTCTTGTCGTACAGTATGTATTGATGCCGCGTCCACTCCAGTTGTCTATTTGTGAACAGTTTCGGGGATATTGTGTTCTCCTGTCTCACTCCACGATGTAACTGGATAGGTTTTGTGAGACCACCCTGTACTTGTACGAACATCGAGCTTGTAGTGTTTAAATGTCTCAAGACATCTATATATCGTCAGTCAATCCGGCAACGCTGCAAGGAATTTATAACAGCCCAAGTTTCGATGGAGTCAAATGCTTTCTTATAGTCCAGAAAGGCCAGAAACAGAGGCTGATTATACTTATTCATTTTCTGTATAATTTGACTTACTGTGTGAATGTGGTCTGTGGTGTCACAGCCTGTTCGGGTGGTTGAAATTCGTCAAGTCTCCGTGCGAGTCGATTCATGACGACCCTCGCAAACAACTAATAGACGTGGCTTAGAAGGGAAATGGGCCAATAATTCTTTAATATTGTCTTGTCACCTTGCTTGTAAAAGAAGACTATGATGCTTCTGCTCCACGCCATTGGAGTTCTCCCAACTCGTAAAACGCAGTTAAAAAATCGATAGAACTCTTTAAGCAACGGTTGTCTCCCCGCTTTCAAGAGCTCTGTTGTAACTTTGTCCTCGCCAGGGGATTTTCCATTTTTAAGTTGCCCGGGGTCAACTTGATCTCCTCTAGACAGATATTTGGCGGCTTATCGGTAAAGTGGCGAGTTAGTGTGGCTCTGGGATCGTCATATTTGGGGTCAGGTTACTGATTCTGGGAAGCATGTAGTGTACTGTAGTAGCCTTCAATCTCAGCGAGAATCTCGGGCTTTGACTTGAAGGTTTTGCCATCACATGTCCTCAGTTTTGTATTGTACCTCTTCCCAAGCTTCCGAGCAAAGACTTTAGGACCCTTGTTTCGCTCTATTACTTCTTGAATAAGGGTTGCATTAGAGCGCCACAGGTCGCGCCGTATAGCTTTCCTTACAAATCTGGTAAGTGGGAGCTGTTGTGATGGCGCGGTTTTTATTGCCTCACGTCGCTGTTGTATAAGCTGAAGTATATTGTCAGAGAGCTTAGACTCCCGGCCTATATTTTGTCTACTGCACAGGGTCCAATGTGGATTTTAGGGCATCGAATCGAATCCGGAGTTTCAACTGGAAACGAAATCCCGCGATGATTTAAAAGACATTTGGTCTTCATCAGACATAGACTTCTTCAGACGGGCTCTTTCAATCTTGAAATCGATATTCAGAGTGCCTCGAATAAGTTGGTGATCGCTTCCGGTATTAAATCTATTGATCCCTGAGACATCTCTGAACATGTACTTTTTGCCCGTCATAATGAATTCGATCTCAATTTTCGTCACGTTGTTGGGGCTGCGCCAGGTCCACCTCTTTTGGTGCTTTTTTGAAAATAGAAATTCATTAGATGAAGCCTCTCCCTTTCGAGGAAGTTGATCAACATTTACCTCCTGTGGTTTCTGCTTCCAAATTCGTGCGATCCCAACGATTCAACACCAGTATGTTTCCCAACTTTGGCGTTAAGGTCCCCCATTACGACATTAAAGTAGGCTTTAGTGGTGTTGTGTAAAGCTTTCGCTATGTCTTCATACATAACTTCAACTTCATAGTCCGAGTGTGTCGAAGTTGGTGAGTAAACTTTGACAATCTTTACGGTATATTTTTCAGTTAGTTTTAATTTAAAACAAGATACGCTATCCTAGCCGACATACTGGAGATTGCTAAATTTTTGTCACAGAGAAATCCATTCACGAGGAAGCCCACCCAACCCTGGGAAAGATCATGTCCCTCCTGATAGTAGAGTAGTTGACCTAATTCCAGGATTAGCGTGTCCTCTCCCTCTCCTCAAACTTAACTCAACCCCAGAACGTGCCATCTTACATTTTTCAACTCTACTTCTAATTCTGCAATGAACTCGTTGTGCAACAGAGTTCCATTGTACGCCGCTAGGTCTAGTTTGTGATGGTATCCTGCTCTCTCCCGGGGATTCTTAGCACCCCCTGTCCCACTGCTGTCGTGACCGCCATCGCCAGGAACTGGGGGCCCTGTCTTTTGGTGCTTAACATTGGGAGCTTTTGTCCTTAATCGCCACGCTGGAAAGCGGGTTGGCGATCACAGTATCAGACACGTCGCACCAGTGATGCTGCTGCCCGTCACAGATCTGGATGTTTATGGCCTGACCAGAAAACTGAGATGGTTATTCCGCCATCTGTCGGATGCCAGAACTTGTTCTTTTTTTTTCTTTTTTGCTTTTCGCCCTTAGTCGCCTCGTACGACACACACTACCCAGGGGGTGCTAAGATTCTAACGCCGTTGCTACATTGCTATGTAGGTTTAAAGAAAGTGACATTTCATTAATAACATTTAAGGAAGCAGTACCCGGTTGACCGAGCTTTTCTCGGTATTTTTCGCTCGGTTTTTTTTAATTCGTGTGTTTTGGAAATTATATTTAGATACAAATTACATACTGATGAAATACGAATAATATTTTTTGATCTTAGCGACATAATAGAAAAAAGTGAACTGGTTATTTGAATAAAAAATCATGAGTGCAATTAGTTTAATTTAAATTTTCATGTTTTTAAATAATACTGAAAAAAAGGGCTCGAAAAAATAGATTTTCTCAAAAAAAGAAAGGAACTTGAAAAAAAATTTAAAGAAGTCGGTCGGTCGGTCTGGGCTCGAACCATGGTATTACGATTTTGTGACCGCCCAATATACCAATTAAGCTATTTGTAATCATTAATAAGTTTTCAAAATTTACCTTCTTATTCTAACGATATTGTAGCAGTTTTTCATTGCCTAAAAACACGGACAAAAAGACATTTTCTAAAAATAAATCCTAGCTAGATCGATTTATTTCCCCCCGAAACTCCCTGCACAAAAAATTTTATGAAAATCGTTGGAGCCGTTTCCGAGATTCCGATTATATATATATATATATATATATATATATATATATATATATATATATATATATATATATATATATACAGAATTGCTCGTTTAAAGGTATAGGATTAAACATTACTCAGAATATTCTTATAGCAACATTAAGATAGAAGATTCTTGAATGTCGATTTTTAAATTAAAAACGTTTGCTTTAAATTGATATATGATGATTTAAAACTGCACTTAAATTATGCTAATGAGTCACCAAATTTTTTAATCTGTCGAACAGCGAAATACGTCTACTATTTTTTAATATAATCCTGAACTTTAATATAATACTGAACTCCAGGCTGGGTATGTTGTAGATTTAAAGAGTGAAACTTAAGTTTTGCCAATAAACGTTTTGTCATGACATGCCCCAATGTATCCCACGACCGCACTACGCAATACGCAATGAATGTGTAAATGTGTGCAATTTTATATTTATTGGATTAATTTTAAGTTACAATTAAATTAAGTTTATAAGTAATGCTATATCATCCAAAGCTAACAACTTGTAAAGTTTCTATAATAATATATATTAATAAATAAATTAAACATTAATTGTGAACTGCGTTTTGTCTCTCGTAAAATGAAAACTGTTGTCTGGGCAATTAAAAATATTGTCTAGCCTAATTTCTTCACAATATCACATGATTACATTATCAATGTAAAAAGACGTTACATAAAGTCTCTTTGTTTACAATTATGAATCATTTTCGTCAATAATCTTGTTGTTAATTATTATTTAAATTAACTCTAATACTTATTATCAACAGCGTGTTTTTTTTATGTTTAACTTTAGTACAAAAAATAAAACAGAAATAGAAAATGTTTAAAGTAAGAACTACGAAAATTCTTTTTGTTAGTTTATGGCATCTGTTGACGACTGAGTCCATTTAAACGTGGTGGAGCCATGCAAACGTGATAGAGTCATGCTGCAGCTATATAAGTAGTATAATTGCAGCATACATAAGTCGGCTCGAACGGGGGAGAACCACGCTCTTGCAGAATACCAGCGAAAAATAGCACCTTAACGTTGCTGTGTTTCGTAAGGTGAGTGTAGAGAACCGGAGACCCTTTTTAAATTTTAGGGTGCATTCCATCTTAGTCCTCAGCGTGACAACGCATCTGCATTTTGAAATTTAATCGAGGATAAATGTAGATGTCTATGGGCCTCAGCATCCATTTACCATCACATGAAATGCGGGCTCGTTTGTCACCCTTATCCTATATAAAATAATAATAATACCCTTAACCGATAAAACCGTGAAATTAAAGTTCTCCGTTTGAATGCTAATAAAACTAAGGTTCTGGTATTTGAAAAGAACGAAGAGAGAACGAAATGTGAAATATGGGTAAATCAGGAATGTCTAGAACAGGTAAATGAAATTGTATACTTGGGGAGTGCTTTCAATCGGGATGGAAGATGTGATTTAGATGTGGACAGGCGTGTCGCTGCCGGAAACAAAGTCAATGGTGCCCTGAATGCATTAGTAAAAAAGGCAAGGCGTGGTGAAGAGTGCACACCTTGCAATACATAATGCAGTGTTGGTACCGACTTTGTTATATGGCAGCGAAACCTGGGTATGCCAGAAGAAGCATAAAAGCAAGTTGAATGCAGTGGAGATGCGATCTCTTCGTAAAATGTGTGGCGTTACCTTAGCCGACCGAAAGCGAAATGAAGAGATTCGCAATATGGCAGGATTGAAAGATGACCTTATCACAAAAATTGATAGGGGCGTACTCCAATGGTTTGGGCACGTTGAACGAATGAGTGAAGACCGAATGGTGAAGAAAATATATAGAGCGAAAGTAAATATTAAAAGGTGTCGAGGTAGACCGAGACTAACTTTCGAAGACCATGTGAGCAAATTGCTCGAAGAGGGGAGGGTCAAGAGTACTCGGATACCTAGACGTGCATGTATGAAGAAGTTAATGAACCTGAAAGAAGCGAAAGAGGTATGTAAGGATCGTGACACTTGGCGATCTGTTCTTTCTGGCTACCCCGTTAGGGATTGTGCGTGAAGATAAGTAAGTAACCGATAAAAGATGTAGGAGGGGTCTTCTTTCTCCAGGGCTGCTCGCTTTGGAAATCACCGGGAACAGTCATGTCATGTTAAATAACAACTGACAAAAATAAATAGGATTTTAATAATTACCGCATATAATTTGTGAATTTGTTTTAGGTATAGGGTATATATAAACAATTTTTTCGTTTTCTTTAGATTATGCGGATGAACAATGGTTCTTTGGGAGGCACAACGGCCGGAAAAGTTGTGAACATACTGTCGAATGATCTGCATCGATTTGATTTGGCGTTCCTCTTCCTACATTATGTATGGATTATTCCACTACAGTTAGCCGCGGTTTCATACCTGGGCTATATGCAAGCGGGTACTGCTGCTCTCATCGGATTGGCTGCTTTAATTATCATAGCATTGCCCGTCCAAGGTTAGTACAATTTAATAGTATATTTTAAACATATTTTAAAATGTCATAATATTATCTCATTGACATTAAAAGTGAAATGAACATATCTTTAATATATAGCAATCGTTCTTCTCATTCATTACAGTGTAACAAAAGTCCACCGCTAAACGGAGTCATCTCCCATAGATTGCCTCATGTATAATACCTGGATATTTGCTATGGTTGCATTGCTTGACAGGCGGATTTTCGAGCGCAGTTTTTTATTGTTCTGAGTTGTTATTAGCTTATCAGGAAGATGCTGCCGCCCAGTTTCCCCATTGTCGCCTATTACGACACCCATAGGATGATATGACAGCAGTAGATTCTCTTAAACTGCCAGTACACGTCACGACTATATCACTTTCTATATTAACATTTAATCAGCTGTCAAGGAATGGCAATTAGTCACCCCGTTTCGTCTTCCGATTGACGGCAATATAACATAAAACAAACATTTTAGCTTAACGTAAATATCTCGTGTACGCCAGGCGTAAAATACCCAGACTGGTGACGGTTCGAAACATCTGGTACTGATGTTACTGATATTGTCAATCTAACTGCCTAGTGCGATCAAGGCAAATCCTTACTAAAATGGGAGAACCTTAGAGAAGAAGGAGTTATCAGTAATCTATATATTCTGTGGTTGATGTCCATATCTTCTATTTAAGCACCAACTGATGGACACAAATTTCTTAATTCTGACAGGGTTTTTATGGAAGAAATGAGTCCACTGCATTAAAGCTAAGCTACAGCCTATATACGTCCCACTGCTGGGCACAGGCCTCCCCTCATTTCTGAGAGGGTTTCAGGGCAAGGAAGTGTTCGCCGCGCTGCCCCAATGCGTGTTGGCGAACTTCATATGTCTTCGAAATATTTTGTTTTATTACATATTTTTCTTCCTCAGACATGCAGGTTTCCTCACAATGTTTTCCTTCACCGTCGAGCACGTGGTAAATCAGTACTTAAAATTGCAATTAACAATTTCATTGATGCCGGCGGGGATCGAACCCGGGTTACTCGCGTTCTGTTATATTTACAGCGAGCGTTAACCATCTGAGATACCACGGCTCTCACGGCTGAGTCCACTGAATTATCAAATAATATTTGTCAGCGTAAGATATTTGATCATTTATTAATTTAAGATAATAGCTATCCGTCTCGGCTTAGCGTAGGTGATTTTTGGATCTTCACAACAGCGCCACCTACAGGATCTAATTGTAAATCTACATCATTCAGGGATCTACACTAACTAATAAATCAATCGAGCCATTTTAAGTTTTAGCCAGACTATTGGACAGTAATTTCTTTTTATGGATGTGCATGTTAATATATTATATAAATGTATTATTTGTTGTGACAACTTTCTCAGTGTTGACTTTGATTTAAGTATTTTAAAGAATTATAAGAATACCTGTTATACACCCTACGATTGTCGTAATATGAGTGTAACGGGTATAGATTTAGAATTAATTGACGTTAGAATAAATTGGCAATGCAAAAGAGAAAGGTAGACTAGACCATTCATGTACACGCTATCAGCCTCTTTCGGCTGGTGTCATTCATAACAAAACAAATTCAGCTTGTATTTGCAAAATCTCAGATTATGAAGTAAAAATTTGTGTTTGATAGACGTAATTGATCTTGAATAGGTGCGTAGTACCTAAATATAACTCACCTCAGAAAGAAAATCCTACATCATTAAACATTTAACCCGTAGGTACGGTTGAAATGTTTAATTGTTTAAACGTTGTGTTTTAGAGTACGTACAAACAATTTGTTCTTAAATGGATAACATTTTATAATAGTAATCAACAGAATTCAAAGCAATTGAATTTGAAAGAATTACAAATACGTGAAATTTTGCTACTTTTAACCTAATTTTTGTAGAGATTGACTTCTGATAATATCTTATCTAAACATCCTTAACGTGCAAAGGTACGCCATGCATGCAACCTTATTCAAGTTAATATTTTTTTAAATATAAGGTTCCGTAGCTAAATATTCTTATAATAGTATCATTTAAAAAAATGTATAATTGTGAAAACAAACAAGCACACAGACCATTTGATGGTAAGTGGCTGTAACAGATTTTTACTAATTAAATAAATAATTAGTATAGCCATCAGCCAGGAAAAGCAGCCAGCGTTCTTAGCACAATCCCATGGGGAGTAGGACTGTATGATAATTTAAGTTTTTAGTTTTAGTTTTTTTCATATATATATATATAAATATATATATATATATATATATATATATATATATATATATAATATAATATATAATAATAATAAATAGTAAAACGCAATAATCAACAACATTGGACATCAGATATCAAAGAAATGGATGTCAAATAAAACTTTGTGAGAATATTTTAGGATATTCTTACAGCCGTATATGGGTAAATACTCAACTATACATTAATCAACTTAAACAAGTTTAACTAAGGAAACTTAAATGCAAGCAAACAAGCGTGGAAAGTTCTTAATGTGCGTAGGTCACAGTACGGACGCCAAATAAAGCACGATATGCATGTTTTTCAGTAATATAGCATCCAATATGAATAAAAATTATAATTGTATTATATATATATATATATATATATATATATATATATATATATATATATATATATATAAATATAGTACTTTAATATTGTTAGTATTTCAATGTTTCATGCAGCTTAAAACCCTTGAAGGGGCACAATGCTTTTAAAATATATAATTAGTCAATATAAAATGAGTAGTTTAGAATATTTGAGGGAGCATATGAACAGACATACACACCAACCAACCATTTCCATTTTTTTGGCTTCACTGTAGTTAGGTAAAAATATTCAAATAAATCACAACGTAACAAAATTTTATTTACTCTCTTCTTGAAGACGCCTTGATTGCAATCGGGTGGAAGGACAGACGCCGGTAGAAGCATATACGGTTCCAAAGCGAAGAAAATCGAAAACAAAGCATTGAAGAACCACCAAACCTATAGTTGTGTGATGCCTAAAAGAGGAGGAGGTACTAAGGATGTAATTCCTACGCACACTCTGAAATGCGTATTTAGAATACCGGATAGGCTGGTGGTGGCCAACAAAATTGTTTTCAACCAAATCAATGTAACCAATGAGTTTCTTAGCACGTATCTCCACTAAGTCCAACGTTGAGTTGTTTTTTGATTTCTAAGAACTTTCACGGATATTATTATAAATTTTAACAAAATGTAAAAACCGACTTGAAATTGCTAAGAAAGAAGTTTTTTTATTTGCAGTGGAACTTTTACTCCAAATTTATATGGGATCACCTTAAATATAACCTATTTTATAAAAAAAATCATCAGAGTCGGTTCACAATCTGCGAAAATATCGCGTGACATACATACAAAAAAAACATACACTCGAATTGAGGAACTCATCCTTTTTGAAGTCGGTTAAAAAGATAAGTGTCTACTGCAGCCCATTGACATATGCAACAAACTTCAAACAATGAAGGCTGTTGCTTGGTTATCACTTCTCTCTTGGTTATCACGGCACCTAAAGCCATTGGTCCTGCGCCTTATCTCTCTCCGGTCGTGTCGGTTTACCGTCCTATCGGAATACGAGAGTGAGGGAATAGAGAGTGCACCTGTGCTTGCGCATACACTTGAGCACTATAATGCTGTCGTGATGGCTAGTCTCCGTTGAAGCTGGCCGCCGTGACCGAAATTCGGTCCGGAGGACATTATTATCACTTCTGAGAACTAAGCTAGTATACCTCATAGCCTGTAGTTATATTGGCATTTGACGCGCTGATGCTTGACAGCATAAGGTCAATGGGTGATACCTGCTCTAACGGACTCATAGTGGGACTAGTCCTACCACTTGGTAAGAAATTATGATATAATAACATTAAAAATAATTGATATAACGTTCTGCTAAATGGTTATAAATATATAAAATATTTAAACATTCAAGCTAAAACTCACTTAAATATTAGTACAATTATCATAGGTCGTGTGAAAACTATGTAATGGACTTATATTTGATAAATAAATTCCCTATCATAAGAATTGAAAATACCTCTATTTTGTTTAGGTGGTCTTGGAACATTTCTTGGCAAAATAAGATTTCGTACTGCAGAAAAAACAGATGCACGGGTCAAATTAATGAGCGAAGTTATTAATGGAATACAGGTGAGAAACATCAAAACGTGATAAATATCTATTTTAATTACAAAAAGTATAGATAATTACAATACTATAGCATGATATAAAAGTATGTCGATTATATTTTAGTAGGTATTGTGTGAAAATAATACCCGGGAACTAATTAGAAGATTTCTACGTTTAAAAACAGCGTTTTTTATAGGATAAGGGCAAACGAGCTTACAGTATAACTGATAATTGCCAACTTGCCCCCTCCAAGTGTGACAACTTTGGCGAGATCTATAGACAGACTTTACTTATGAAAACCATAACTGAGTATATGATTAGCAATAATATTAATTAATGCGTGATTCTGAATTTATAGTTGTATCGGACTAATATTATAGATAGATATAAGATTATATAAAAAAATATATTTAAAAACCGAAAACAGTCCAAATTGTATTTCATAAATAAGTTATTATTACATTTAACTAATTTTAGTTTAAGATACCAGAAAGAAACGGAACGTTTGGTCAGCCGATCAAGCACTGTCAATTCACTATTTCAAACGTGAAGCTTTTGGTTTTTTGATATATGTTTTAATCTGATCTTTTTATTACGACTGGGTTTGAAACTTGGACACCCGAGTTTACCTATATTACCTATCTAAATATTCGACCTACGCTACCGGAATTTGGACCCGATGTTCTTTGGGCTTTTCTGTAACCCAGGTTTGTTTAAGGACATGGAGACATGATGGAGAGATGGAGGACAATGTGATATAGAGAATAAAGAGAGAGATAACTCTCTCTATATTCTCCATTATATAACAATTTACTTAAGAAATTTAATAACACGATAATTTTTGGCTAAAGTTGTTGATTTTTTAGATTTAAAAAAATTAAAAATAAGTTTGAAATTACGTAAATAGCAACTGGATTAATGCTATTTAGAACTGGAAGACGGCCTAACACTACCTATTTATTGTTATAAATAATCATATTAACCTAAAAACATCAATTTAAAATTAATACTGTGGTTTTAGTTAATATCCTGAGTTTTTCGTAAGTCATCGATTTCGTTGACTTAGGCTTTGCTAAGGCGCACTCAACATGACTTGGAAGTTAGCTCTATAAATATCAACATTTTCTTAGCTCGAAAACAGTCTGAGCAAAATCAAGGTACGGTCTATAGATCTCAGCCTCAGTCTCCGGCTGCCATGCTATTCCTGGCAACTGTGGCGAACATAGTTACGGCGTAGCGGAGGTGTTAAAAATCCCGGGCGTAGGATCAGTTGCCATATTCAACGTCTTGACTGGTTACTCTAAACGTATGCACCTTAAGAACTTAAAACAAGATACTGGAGCTGAAAGAAGGGATAGCCATTGTGTTGGGATATTATACGATTGGCTGAGGTCTGGAAAGTTGAGGAGGACTCGGTAATTATTGAATCCGGCAATGGGAAAGGCGTCCATCACTCCCAACGATACTTTAACCGTTTAAAATAGTTTAAATATTACCTTCTCCCTAATCCATCAAAGTCACGTGTTCATCACTTACTGTTTAAGTTCTGAATGATGAAAAAATCTTAATTTTTTTTCAAAGGGTTATTGTATGTTTTGATATTATAATAATGCCCTCCATCCCGAAATTTCGGCAACGGCCTTACATGCTTTTCGAGGCAAGGGTGTAAAATACCGTTCACTTTCTGAATCGTCCAAACTGCTACTTTCTTTATAGAAAAACCCGATAGCAAATTTTGACCCAATCAAACCCGGATATGACGAGCAGTCATGATAACGACCATTAGACAATCTAGGCAGTCAACGTTAAACAGTCAAAAAAAAATTAGAAATACCAGTTTTATTTTGTTAACTTTTCAGGTGATCAAAATGTACGCGTGGGAAATTCCGTTCCAAAAAGTAGTAGGGCAAAAACGTATGGATGAGCTGAAACAAATAAAAATTGCCTCCATGATGAGGGTTATTTTCCTTGGTTTTATGATTTTTACAGAAAGAGCGGCCCTTTTCATAACCATTCTATCACTTGTTTTGCTTGGAAATGTAATGACTGCTAATGTTGTAAGTATACTTTGTATTTTGTTGATTTTAATATATAACTTTAAGTTTTATTCAATAAAATAAAGTCTTGACCATCATATCTGCAATCATTAGGTGTCGATCGGGAAAATTCGATCAGTAAAATATTTTAGTAAAATGTAAGTAATTTTTCTGATTGGTAATCATAGGTAGCTAGTACAGTAGTACCGGTAGTAAATTTATTTATTTGCTTAAAGTCTGTGTAGGTAGGTGATACCGCAGCGCATTTCCATCTACTGTGGTCAGCAGTGCATATATACGAGTTAGTAACACGATGCAGTCTTCCTGGAGCATGTCGATCAAGGCAAAACGCAGCGAATACGGTGTTAAGAAAACTTTCGGACAGAAGTAGTATAAACTTAACCCATGTAAGGCTTAGGCAGACTTTGTTTACATAAGCCGCAAAGCGTTTGTTCGTGTGGTTGTTTTTATTAAAAATTTTTGCTGCACGATATAAATAAAGGAGAACAATATGTAGCATTTCAACATGGGTTGAAAAAAATCACACATGCGCTTTCATCATACATTTGATATAGCTATAAAGCAACCCAATTTACAGTCAAAAGCAACAGAAAAATTAACTACCAGGTCCTAATGGATATTTTAAAAATTTGAAAACGAGATTGTACAAGTGATGCGTGGTACGCCAGTGATTTCCCTGCTGACTGTTATGAGGAAGCTCAAGGTCGCTCAGCAAACTGCAACACCAGGGGAATTACACATGCGTTGTCGGCCTTTTAAAAAGGAGTAGGCTCTTTTTTGAAGGTCTCTAAGTCGTATCGGTCCGGAAAAATCTCTGGTGATAGTCGATTCCACAAAGAAGTTGTGCGAGGAAGAAAATTTCTTTTAAATCGCACAGTGGTGGACCGCCAATCATGCAGATGGTATAGATGGTCTCGCGAGGTTTTTTGCGATGTGCAGAGGTGAAATTGTGCGGCTGGTGTGGTGAAATTGCCCCCCCCCGCCCTCAAATACGTGGGGCAGCCTGAGCACCCACGTTCATGAAGAGTAGGGTAGCTTAGGCGTGGATTCTCCGTCACCGGGGGGTGCTAGTACCCTCCTGTGGTAGTGTTATATTTTACTCCGCTACCACATTAAGAGGGGGGACTCACCAGACGAAATGCAGAAGCAAAGCTTCTACTTCACGCTGATCTCTGTGAGGTCATGTACCACCCCGGTTTGAGCCGGCCCATACGTGCAACAGCAGAGGCTGCGTGGCTCTATCACTGTTAAATATTTATAGGTACAAAACTGTTAATAAGCTTCATTTAAACCATACACTTTGAGTTAAAGACTTAATAATATTTTTTATGTTTCATGAAGTTGTTGCTAGACAACATTGTAGCTCGTATGTTAATTGCATTATCTTTTTGTTTTATACTTATTAAAATTTACCATTGTCTCAGCTTATAATTTTTTTTAGATATATCCCTTACAACAATTTATGAACGCTGCTCAAATTAATATAACGTTAGTTTTACCGTTAGTATTAACATTTACTGCTGAGCTTTTAGTTTCGATGAAAAGAGTGGAACAATTCCTTTCCTTGGGTAAGTTTAAATTTTGACTGTTATTGTATTGTGAATTAAAATATGAATGTAATTTGGTATTTAAATGTGTATTATATTTGCCGTGTGGTAATGGCGTTGGGGAATCCTACACACCATTTCGTTCCGGGATTGTCATAAGACGGAAAATTAAAGAAAAATGCAACATAACCACCTCGCTTACACCGGGTATAATATACCGATACGGGTCTACACAGGTATTTGTGTCTTAGGTACAAGACGTCTGATATTGCGATGGTCAATCCGCAAAGCGTGGTGATTAACGCATATAAAAGTAAAAATCCTCTCTCGTTGTATTAATATATAACGTGAAAGAGCCTATAAGTGGACAAACGAACTGATGAAGAAAAATATGAAACATATTTTGAATGGAAAGTCACACACATTTCTCTATTTTATTCGTTTTTTTAACAGTCAGCAGATTAAAAAAAACGTTTTCTATAATAATTTTAACTTTGCAGAAGACAGACTTGACTTAATTGACGATAAAGCGAGCCCTCAATCAAATTTATTTCGAAACGTGTCAGATAATCTCGAAGACTTTAAAGAAGTATCCGTTAGGCCTTTATCCTACCAACCAACATCGGAATTTTCTATAAGCAATGGTTAGTAGACAATTCTTAGCGTAGTTTAAATGTTATCATGATTAAGATTTTGTAATTTTTTAACACTTATGAGGTAACGGGGTAAGTCATAAACATAATAATATTTTATTCTAAATACACACACACACACACACACACGCACGCATGCATGCACGCATGCATGCACTCACGCACGCACGCACGAACGAACGCGCGCTCGCACGCACGCACGAACACATGCACGATTGCACGCACGCATGCAAGCACGCACGCACGCACGCACGCACGCAGCAGCAGCAAGATGGCAGCATGCACGCACGCGCGCACGCACTCACACACGAACGCTTGAATTTTTTCCAACAACCACTTTGTACATTTTTTTTGTAAGATGATACTGGCTGCTAAGTTACAGGTTCGCCTACATTAGGAGCCAGGGGCTTTACATTTATTTATTAAAAGTTATTGGTGAAATAAAGCAAAATAAATACGATAAAAATCCCACAGACCGGTGATGAGGAGCAGATTTCCAGTATGAAGGTCTCAGATCTACGCTCATATACTCACCTTCAATGTAGGGAAAATTCTGTAAAACTTTGAGACTACGCATAGCCGTTAAAGTATTCAACCGTAAATAATAAAAAACGCAGGATAAAGAAGAAAAATGCAAATTAGTATAAATATTTAATATACGCCGTAACGTGATACACATTTACTAGCTGTGTAGTGGCGGCGTGAGATTATCCACTGCTAATATCCACTACCCTGGACAGCTGCATCATAAAAAGCTGCTTTTGCCAACACGCCTGCTATCGTGTTAATTATGGCGAAATTCCCCGAATGAGGTAATCTACGGGGAAGACCTGTTTCAGTAGTGGACGTTTGATAGTCTGTAATGCATTATAAAAGTATATACTCACACTTACTTGTAAAATTAAAAATTTTATGCATCCGACTTCAATATAAATAAAATGAGAACATCATCTATACAGAATGGGTACCACATATAAGCATAAATGAAACCATGTACTTGTTATCGTCTTTGCTGACGATATACAAAACCTGAACAAAATCGGTCCAGTAACTAGGTCAAAAAGTAGCGTTTTAAATTGGAGCTAATTTGAAATCTCTGTAGAATTAGGTCACTAGGTCAATATTTCAATGAACTTGAATACTTGAACATTAAAAAGCGACTTTGCCACGCAATGCAAACTATTACAATGTGAGACTATGTTCGTCAACAGCGGGGTCTTTTGGCAGTGTCCTTCAAATACGACGGCGTACTTGCGCGCACGCCTATGTCGTAAAGATAAACAAAAAAATATGTTTAGTTGTAAATACTGAGGATATGATGTTTTTAGAATTATCGTGCTGTTATGATAATTCTAAAAACACTGCGACCCAAGTATACTTAAAGATAAACTTTAAATCTTTTTTGTTTAAGTGTGTTCGTGTTGATTTAAAGATAATAAATTTGTTTTGACATGATAAAAATCCATTTGCTAGGAAGTCACTTACTAAACGGTAGTTTCGTAAGTTCAATCGTAGAGAAATAAACTTTTTTAAACAATCAATAATTCGATAATTGTTAAAAAACTAAATATTTGTAATATTTATTACTGGTAAGGTCAACTCTCGCAATTCGAAATACCAGTTAAGTTTTGACAATAAATTGACTAAATCAGATCAGGATGTAGCAATGGTTTTTGAGAGATATTTTACTGATATTCCGATCTTAACCACTAAGTCACTGAATTCTTCTCCTGCCGTCGCCGAATCATTACTTAAACAAAATCTAAATACGTGTACAAAGAATTTCACATTTCATAAAGTGTCATCAAAAGATATTCTAAAATATTTTAAGACTATTGATATTAAGAAAACCGCAGATCTGGGGGGGGGGGGGGTTTCCGTTAAAGTAATTGCGTCCATAATAGATGCAATCGCACCTCAACTATCTATTTTTTTAATACTAGTATCAAATCTGGTGTGTTTCCAGATTTAATGAAACATAGTAAAGTAATACCTGTATTTAAATCTGGCAGTACATTGGACCCCGCTAATTTTAGAGCTATTTCTGTACTGCGAACACTTCGTAAAATTTAAAAAACATTATTCTTGATCAAATATTAATTTTTTTTAATGTAAATAATTTACTTCATAAAAATATATTCGGTTTCACATGGGGTCGCTCGACAACTGATGTTGGTGTTGAGCTTATAGAATACATTATCTTTAATGCATGGAAGAATTCACAGGATGCTTTGGGTATATTCTGTGATCTATCCAATGCCTTCGATTGTGTTCACCATGAAACATTAATCAGGAAACTTCAACACTACGGTGTAAGAAATGATGCCATTAAATTAATTATTTCATATTTAAGTGACAGAACGCAAAAAGTTGTCATTAACAGTATGAGTTCTTCCAGGTCGATTGTACAAATGGGCGTGCCTCAGGGCTCAATTCTCGGCCCTTTCTGTTTCTTGTATATATTAATGACTTACCTTACATGGTAGGGGATAACCATGATATAGTATTGCTTGCTGATGATACTTCATTAATTTTCAAATTAAAACGACGGTTATTAAATTACTACGGAGTAAATAATGCTATAGTTAAGTTAGTCAATTGGTTTAATGTTAATAATTTGCATTTAAATAGAACTAAAACTAAATGTATGAAATTCGTAACTCCTAATGTCAAACATATTAATACGAATGTAATTTTAAATGGGGAAGAAGTCTCTGAGTCTTGTTGATACCACGATTTTTCTTGGAATCACACTAGACGCAAAGCTTCAATGGCTCCCCCATATATCAAAACTAGCTAGCAGATTTAGTTCTGCAGCATATGCTGTAAAAAAGATTAGAACTCTTACCAGTGTTGAAACAGCTAGAATAGTTTACTTTAGTTATTTCCATAGCATTATGTCGTATGGTATTTTGCTATGGGGACACGCGACTGACACTGAAATTATATTTATTTTACAGAAGAGGGCCATTAGAGCAATATATAATTTGAAAACAAAAAGAGACACTGAGACAAAAATTTAAGGGAAATCAATATATTAATTCTGGTCTCTCAATAAATTTATGAAAATGTAATGTACGTACACAAAAATAAAAGGGGTTTTGCAAAAATAAGTGATATTCATTCTGTAAATACTAGGAACAGACACAAGCTAGTAGTATCAGTTACTCGACTCCACCGAGTCAGTAATTCATTCTTGGGGCGATTTATACGCTTTTACAACAAAATCCCAGAAAATATACAAAGTTTGTCATACACAAAGTTCAAAATTTTTATTAAACTAAGTATAAAAAGCGTTATTATAATATTAAGGGATTTATGGATAATAATAACCCCTGGGAAGGGTGATCGCTACCAAGCTATTTCTAATTTGTCTTGTGTTGTTAATTGTAAACATGATTGTAAGCTATTATTTGAAAAAAAAAATTAGTCCCGCTGGGTTTCTTGCTGTTTCTTCCCAGGACAGAGGTTTTTTTTACATTGGTAAATGAAAAAATTGACTTTCAATAAGTATTGTTTATAATCTACATTAAATAAAAAAAGTTTCTGTTTCTGTTATTTCTATGCCTTATTTAGGTATTGTAGTTATTAGTAAGTGTAAAAAAATTGAGTACCTCCTATTTTTTTTGAGTCGGTTAAAATATGTGCGTGCAATATGTGGCGAAGTTTTAATATGCACATAGAATTTATGCAACAATGCTTTACTAAAAGTTAAATTCACTCATATATATATATATAAATTTACATAGTTACACATGTAGCATTTAATAAGTATTCTTATTTCAAATAAGAGCTTTCTTATTTTCGTTCTTGTGAAAGCATAGTAGGATTAGAAAGTTCAAGAAATAACACTTAATATTTAAGTATAAACAACAGTCTATACGTAAATATTGTGTTTTGTTATTCATCTCGGTAATGGTCTTAATTGGTTTTCTTGGCTTGGTAATGCCGTAGTCAATTTGTGAACATCAGTTTCATAATTAATACTTTAGTAGACCTGTAATTATTTAAAAAAAAAAACAATTGTTTTAATTCAAAGCTGTAGGACTTCGTAAATATATATTACATACATAATTTATGTAAATCTTATGTGTCCTCCAGACCGCATTTCGGTCATGGCGGAAGGTCTGTCTCAACGGAAATTGGCTTTCTATGTAGCTGGTGCCCGAATGTATGCATAAGCACAAGTGCAGTCTCTACTTCATCAGTCTTATACTCTGTTGGAACAGTAATCTGATACGACTGGAGAGATCTCATGCGTAGGACCGCTCAGCAGTAGCTTTACGTGCTTTTTGAGACAAGAGGGGAAAATTCGCCAATTTCCGAGCTGCTACTGAGAATTTTTTGACAGGAATACCTATGTAATAAAATGTTAATCTCAAAATAATAATTTTGATAAAACTAGACATTATAGTAATACTTAATTAAAATTTTATCATAATAAAAATAATAAAAAATAATTTTTAAAGGTTCTTTACGGTCAGAGAAGAAATTTCGAAGGAGTCTCTCGCAACCAGACTGTGATATTGCGGTTGAACTGCGGGACGTTAGCGCCAGTTGGACCGATGACCCCAACTTATTGGCACTCAAGAACATTACTGTACGCATACGCAAAGGAAAGCTTTGCGCAATCATAGGGGCCGTCGGGTCAGGCAAGGTGCAGCCACAACCTTTTCTATTTTAAATACATAAGTCAATTTAAGTAAAATTACAACCTATATACGTCCTACTGCTGAGCACAGTCTTACTCCCTATTCTAAAATAATTATGAATCAGTTATGGATGCTTCTTCTAACGAATTTAATATGTCCTAGAAATACTTAACTTTATCTATGGAGATTATGTCGACGCCGAGTGTGCGATTAATGAATAAATAAATAAAAAAAATGTTCTATGCTTCAGGAAAATTATGTTTACAGTGCATCCAGAACTTTTAATTAATTTTTTGTATGAAGTATAAAACTTGTTACGGTTTCAATATTTTTTTAGTTTTTACAGGAACAATATTAAAAGCTTTATGTCACTAAGTCCAGAATGAGTTGACACATGAATTTAATTTTAATTTATTACAATATGGTTTCATTGCCATAGTCTTCTGTCTCTTCAGTATCAGCCCATCAAAAGTCCACTGCTGCTGGACGTGGGTCTTCATGCATTTGGTGTACCCTCCACGCTTCGCAGGTTTAGCGATGACATAATTAAGCCTCACCAATTAGAAACTCTTTCTTGCCTTCAATATATGTGAATTTTATAATATAATTCTCATTATCGGATGTCATGAAGACTTTTTCAGTGATTCTGAAGACCTCAATAGAACGGAATTGTGTGATAAATTTACTTTAACCACCAATAGTAGATAGGCGGTGTTATTATTTTAATCTACTTAATACTATGATGTTTTGTTTAAACTGATACACTTTTTTTTCATATAGTCTTCGATCTTACAACTACTGCTAAAGGAGTTACCTGCAGCTACTGGCAGCGTGTCAGTGTTTGGAAAAATCTCGTACGCTTGCCAAGAAGCGTGGCTATTCCCGAGTACAGTCAGAGAAAACATCTTGTTCGGTATGCCTTACGATAAGGAGAAATACAATCAAGTACGTATTTGCATTAAAATCCTCCATAAAAGCATGGTTGTTTGATAATTAGAAATCTCTTTGAAACTAGGTTTATAAATAATACTAGTTATTGTGCAATATCTTTATATAAAAAGCCGTTATTTTGATCATTAAATCATGTATGAGAATATACTTTTTCTGTTGATAGTGTGATAGTATAATTAGGGCATGACCGATACCCCGATAGTATTTGGCACACTCGAAAGAAGTATATTGTATATATACATTTTTAATAATAACTGGGTATTTTAGTTTCATTATCAAATAATTTATGCATTAGCGCAATTTTTAATCAAATAAAAGAAAAACTATTCCTTAAAGCATAAAACGATGGCAAATAATATTTTACATTTATTTTCAGGTGCGAAAAGTATGTGCTTTAGAGAAGGATTTCAAACAATTTCCTTATGGCGATCAAACTCTAGTGGGTGAAAGAGGTGTATCCCTCTCAGGAGGTCAGCGTGCCAGAATCAATTTGGCTCGGGCCGTCTACAGAGAGGTAATTGATTTTAATTTGTTCAAAAAACAAACTCTATTTACGATCCGTAGATCATTTACTGTGGAGAACTGGATAACCTTCTAACGAGGCCAATTGCAATGAGGCATTCTATCGTAGTCCTCAGGGTGAAGATGCATTTTTGCATTTTGATTTTTATGTAGGAATAAATGTAGATGCCTTTACGTATTTGTTAAAATCAGATGTGTTGAGTTTTTAATAGTAATCTTATTATTATTATTGTTAAAGGAAAGCGTAAAGATATCATAAATTTTTATGTATTTTGCCTTGATTTTTTTCTAAATTACTTTGAATCAAAAACAAATTTTTAATCTAAGCTGTTGTAAACAATGCTGGAATTATCTAACAATCAAAGAAAAAATAGCCTCATGTTAAATATGCCGCAATATATATATATATATATATATATATATATATATACATATATATATATATATATATATATATATATATATATATATATACTCATAACCGCGATGTGCCAAACACGTAACATAACATAACATAAACACTCACGCCTGTCACCCAGAGGGGTAGGCAGAGACTACAGACTTCCATTTGGCACGATCCTGACACACCTCTCTCGCTTCCTCCACATTCATACACCTACGCATACATGCTCGTCGGTTAAGGGTACTCCTAATTTGGCCCGTTTTCAATAAATCGCCAATTTGGTCGATTTTCGCCTAGGACGTCCCTTTCCGACTCTGCCATTCACTTCTGCAACATACATTTTCTTTGTCACCCTTTCCTCATTCATTCTTTCCACATGACCAAACCACCGAAGCATTCTTTTCTTAATCCTGGTCACAACATCATCTTGCAAACCACACTCTTCTCTTATTACACAATTTCTTACCCTGTCGTTCAGATTCAGCCCTAACATACTCCTTAAGGACCGCATTTCTACTGCGTTGATTCTACTCTCGTGCTTCTTCTGCCACAGCCAACTTTCACTACCATACGTTAAAGTAGGGACCAACACAGCATTGTGAATTGCCATACGTGCCTTTTTTGACACATTTTGACTCTTTACAATAGAGTGCAGGGCCCCATTTACTCTATTTCCCGCATTCACTCGTAGTTCTATATCCTTATCATATCTCCCATCCCTGCTAAATACGCAGCCTAAATATACAAACTCATCTACTTGCTCGATCAACTCCCCTTCTATTCTTATTTCACAAATCGTTTTACTTTCTTCTCTTTCAAAAACCATAACCTTCGTCTTACTTGCGTTCACTTTCATACCCCTTTCTTTTAATGATCTGTTCATTAATGTAACCATCATTTGCAACTCGGCCGCCGACGACGCAAGGATAACAACAACACATTTTCTAATAATAACTTCAGTCACAATGTTGCCTATGTTTCCATTAAGTTACAACGAATTAACAAAATTAAGATACAACAAATTAACTAAATACAACAAAACCTTTGGATTCATTTAGCTGTAAAGAACAAAATGTCAATTCTTGAATTATGAAACCAACCAATCAAATCTGGCCTATTTTTAAATCGTCAGATAAAAGTAATCCATCAAATAACTGTTTTAATAATAATTAAAATTACAATAAAATACAACGCAAACAGATTGTATTTTATTGTAACTTTTATTTAACGAAAAAAAATTGTCCCAAAGCTCTTTGCACGTGGCAATAAGGACGCAGTCCTAGCAAAGTTGTATGCAAATACGAGTTCCTTATCCTATTTAATATCTAATTTATTTATTTATTTTGAAGGCCGATATTTATCTATTGGACGATCCGCTGTCAGCCGTGGATGCAAATGTAGGGCGTCAGCTTTTCGAAGATTGCATCAATGGTTATTTACGACAACGCACAAGAATTTTAGTCACACATCAAATACATTTCCTTAAAGCAGCTGACTACATCATTGTTCTAAATGAGGTTTGTTTTTGCAATCTTTTTCCTAAGAAATTTTTGTTGTTTTTGGCTTTTTGGCTCGAGATATTTTTGTGTTCCTTATGAGCATTACCGATGAAAAAATATTTGCTTACATTTCTTTGTTTTCAAGGGTGGCATTGAAAATATGGGAACTTTCGATGAATTGGTATCGTCAGGCAAAGAATTATCTATGATCATGGCTTCATTACAAGAAGGAAAAGACAAAAATACAGATAATAATACCTTGGTAAGTGTATTAACTTGGTAATAATTTGATTTGTGAATTAAACAAAAGAAAAATATTTATTCAGTTGTTTACTGAATAATTATACACGAGACAGCTTTGCTTACTAATATGAAATAAACGTGTAAAATAATTGGACCGTGCTTTGTGGCATTCCTTGAAGGAGGATCAGGTTTAGCAGTGGACTTGTGAAAGGATGTAATGATGATGATGATGACATAAAATAATATAATATACGAATCCACATTACTGCGGCAACTAATAGGGCATGCATGTAACGTATAAACAGATAGTAGGTAGGTATTGTCGGTAAT